AGGGAGGCTGCTGTTCAGGAGGGAGCTCCCAATGGCCAGATGTTGCTGAGGGAGCAAGATGAGGGTGAAGGACTGCCCATTTTGATTTGGCAGCTTGTTGGCCACTAGTGACCTCAACAAGAGTGGTCCTGACTAGAAGAGGGAACTGTGATGTGAAAGTGGAGACAGCAGGTACAGGTGGCTTTTGGAGGATTTTGTTTTCTGTAAAAGGGCCAGGAGCTGGAGAAGGATGTTGTGTTAAGAGGGGATTAAGTAAAGGGAGAGAGGAAAACATTAAAGCACATTTACTGAAAAGGGATTGTGAGGCAACAACTGTGGAACCCAGGCCAGAGTTAAGTGAGAGGTGGGGGGCCCAGCACACAAGCAGAGGGGATGTATTCAGAGAGGAACACCTCGTCCATGTTACAGAGGGAAGGCAGAGTGAATGGGCACTCAGACCAGGAGGAGGCTGGCAGGTTTGGGGGTAGGGGTGGATAAATTAGTGCTTGCCTAAATTAGTGCTTGCCTATCGCCTCTGTTTTCCAGAAGCGGACAATGCCTGGCTGTCAGCCGAAATGGAAGATTTGGAGAATGGATGTCAGAGTTCTAGGGAGAGAGGAAAAGGCATGATAAAGTCATCTTTGAGAATAGTATTAAAGTGTTAGGAAAATTAAGAATTTCTTAGAGGTGCTGAGTGCCCCCTTGACCTTTGTGGTCAGAGGTTCCCATCGAAATCTTTCTGTCCTGTTGTCTGATTCTCCAGATGCTCTGGAGCAGGTGCTCGGGTTTAACTAGAGTTAGGGTCCTGCCTGGTAAGTAATTATAGAAGCACAGAAAGGCGAAGGAGTGGAGGATGTCTACAAGTCGGCAATCACCTGGGGGCCCCTGGAATCCAAGATGGGAATGGAGAGCAGGGTGTGAAGTGGTGGTGGATGGTGAGATAGTGGTGGGCAGTAGACGGGGCAGAGGGATTGCTAGAGTGGGAACCAGAGTGAGTGAGTCGGATACATGGGAGATGATGCAGCTCTTAGTGCAGAATAGGTCTAGGGTGTGAGCACTCATGTGGGTCAGTTCAATGGGCGGAGAAAAAGATTGTTAGAAGCAAGGAAGTCAAGAAACTGAGAGGTCAAGGTGTTGGATATGAAGGCATTGAGAATGATAATAGGCATAATAGTAAAGAGACACAAGGAGCTAAGTGCTGAGATGGTCCATGGATGAGAGGAGATGAAGAGGGTAGCTCGTCTGTAGCTCAGACTCAACCCTGTCTGAAACCTGCTCCTCCCCTGGATAAATGCTCCACCACCCAGAGCCAGAAACTTGGGCGTCTTTGTATCCTGCCTAACTGATCCCCACACCCAATCAAAGCACCAGGTCTTTCTGATTTTATCTTACAAACATTTCTTAAATCCAGCTACGTCTTTCCATCCCCACGGTGCACACCCTAGTTTAGGCTACTGTGGCTTCTCACTTGGATGATTAGTGTCAGGTTCCAAATGGACAACCCTGCTTGGGCTCCTTTCTCTGTACTGTGACCACAGATACTGAAAATTACATCGCGTCACTTCTGTGCTGAATCTCTCCGGTGACTTTGAATTGTCCTTAGGATCAAGTCCAGAAGCATGAACAGGGCTTTACAAAGAAAGCCCTGTGTGACCTAGCCTCTGTCTACTTCAGCCTGACCCCTCACCTAGTTGACTCTCCCTTTCTAGGCCTTTCATGGGCTATCCCTTCTGCCTGGAGTCCCCTCTCCACTTTGCTTGGCAAAATCCTCCTCTTTTTCTAGGTGTCAACTTAAGAAGTCTCAGGGAACCTTTTCCTGGATGCCGGGTGTTGAACCCACCTTCCCCCTCTCCCAGCCCCCCATGCTTTCCAGCACACCATGAGTTTAGCAGCTTTTCTCTTCATGGAATGGAAGCTCCGTGAAGTCAGGGACTGTATCTGATTCTTCTCAGGTGAATCCTCAGCATCTAGTAGGGGGCTTATCATATGAAAGTGAACAATAACTATCTGTTGATTTGAAGTCATTGGAAGGTTCTAGAGGTGGAGCAGCTCTGGGTGAAGACAAAATCTGGGGTGTGGCCCTGTGAGTGGGCAGCTAAATGGAGTGGAGGAGGAGGTCATGAAGGACCAGGAGCGCATGGAATGAAAAGGACAGAGTGACACACAGGTGGTCCCCCTGGCCCTGAGAACACCAGGAGACCCTGAGTCATGTGCTGAAGTCTCTAAGGAATGAGAAGTAGGTGGCAGTGATGTGGGCCGGCAGGAGGTAGAAGAGATAGATGGCAGGGGCCTAAGCTAAGCAAAGAGTTTTCAAGAGGGTGGAGGTAGAAAGGTCTGAGAGTGGTACTGAGGGCAGGGTGGGGGTCTTGAGAGTGTGGGCAGGGCCCAGGATAAGAGTGGGATAACTGAAATGGTCCCTGGAGGATTCTCCAGCTCCCCGCAGGGCCCTCAGGCTGGGCACAGTGCTCAGTCTTCGTCTGGCTCAATGGCTCAGGACTGGAGACCTCTGGGGACAGTGCACATGAAGAGGACTGCCGTGAGAGCAGTCGGGTCCCGGGATGCCCTCGCCCCGGAGTGGGGAATCTAGGATCTCAGAGGGAGCTGACTCTGGCTGGTCCGAGGGCCTGCACGTGGGAGCTGCCTCGGTCTGAGCAGCGTGGGGTCATCTGGTTCTGCACTGGTTGTTCTCCAGGATTGGAGGCAGAGTTGCCCTTGATTCTTGGAGTTCAGTAGATGGCACTGGTGACCAGCCCATGCCCCCTTTTCAGGGGGACACCCATTCCCCAGCTGCTATGAATGCTGGTCACTCATGGCTTACAGCTGCTCCTAGAGAATTGATCCTGAGTGGGTGGGAACCACCAACTCCTTCCTGCCTGTCCTGTTCTTCAGGTGGCCTGAAACCAGTGACTGGCTGATCTGGGATTTCAAAGCCTGATGCCCTTGTGTCCAGAGGGACAACTCTGTGGTGGGGTTTATGATCCAAAGGCCCCCATCCTGTGGGGCTCAGGCCGAAGCTAAGTTTCCCTGAGCCCACACCCTGGGCAGCTCTGCCTCTTCCCTATCCTGCTTCCCTTGCTCCTTCCTTCACAGGCACAAACATTCCTGCTGCTGGCTATGCTTCCAGAGGCCCGGACCTATGGACACGGTGACTCTCTGGTCTTGTCCCATAATCAGAGGTGAACATGGAGGCCCTCTGTAGACCACAGGGGACACAGCCCCCACAGGCTCAGCCCATCTGTGTGGATTTGGATGGTCCCTTCCTCTTCTTAGGCCAAAGTTTCCTCATCTATAAGTAAGACCTTTAGGCTGGACTTTGTTCATGAAACAACAAAACATACCTACAGACAAAGAGAAAACATGTTGTGCCCTGGCTGGTGTGGCCCAATGGATTGAGTGCCGGCCTGCCAGCCAAGGGGTTACTGGTTCGATTCCCAGTCAGGGCACATGCCTGGGTTGTAGGCCAGGTCCCCAGTGTGGGGCATGCTGGAGGTGGCCGCACACATATGTTTCTCTCCCTCTCTTTCTACCTCCCTTTTCCTCTGTCCAAAATTAAATAAAATCTCAAACAAACAAAAAAAACAACAAAAACCCCCACTTTGCTGAACTCCCTGGGCTAGGCGTGTTGGACAATTCCGATCAACAACCCAGTCCCTTCTGCCAAGCAGCTCATAGCCCATTTACTCAGTCAATAAACATTTATTGAAGGCAGCTGGCCCAGGTGACTCAGTGTCTTGTCCTGTCCTGCCCGGACCGTGAAGTGCTCACAGGCTGATGGGGAGAAACAGCCCCTCCAGTTTGGGGGGAATAACAGAGGCACAGCAAGTCTGGTACATGGAGAAGGTGGTTAGGGTTGTCCCTGGGGTTCTAGGGAGGGCCCCAGAGGAGGGAGGAAGGGCGTTTTAGGCAGAGGCACCAGCATATCTGTGGGCACAAGGCACGGCATAGCATGATGTGTCTGGCTGGGGAACCATGAGCCCTTTGGTATTTTTGGTGGGTGCAAGGAGGGAGGAGGCAGAAGGTCAGTTGGGGAGGTCAGAAGGGTCCAGGTTTGGGCAATGGAGGGTGGTGCTGGTAGAGAAATTTTTAATGAAGAAGGAACAACGTGGTCAGATTCATATACAGAAAAACCATCCTGTCCTTATAGTAGAGGGCAGACGGGAGGGCCCTGGGAGATGTTACACTGTGGGGGGGGGCAGATGGGAGAGGCAGACTCAGGAGGCATTTGAGGGCCTGGGATCAGTGGGGTTTGCTGCTGCTGCACTGGGCTGAGGGTCGTGAGGGGCTGGGAGAGGGGATGTCAGGCAAGCTCCTGGCTTAGATAACGAGGTGGATGGCGGTGCCATGTGTGGGGTGGGGAGTCATCTGTGAGGAGGGCAGGTTTGGGGATGCTGAGTGGGAGGCCCCCGGGGGCCTCCTGGAGGGTTGTCTCATGGGCAGCTGGTGGGGGCTCAGGGACACAGGCAGGTTCAGGCTGGAGGTGTGATTCTGGGACTTGCCAAGGTCTGAGTGGTGGGGTGGGGGTGGGGGAGTATCCAAGAAAGAGAAGGAAAGTTCCTGAAACTTGAGGACCCATGAGGGACCCTCTGGCTTGGGCACTCTCCACAGGTCCCTGGCCTGTGGGCACATGCCTCCTTGCCACCCTGGACTTGTGCTCAGCACCATCCAGCCTTTGCTGGTCCTTGCCTCCCACCATCAGAGGGCATTCACCCACCTTCGACCTCTGTTGGGCAGGGTCAGAGAGGCCTGGATGGGGGAGGCAGAGGCCTCCTAAGCATGTTGCTTCCTAAGCAGCACTCTCTGGGAATGGACATGCTGAGCGCAGGGTCTCCTGGGGCCCCTCTCCGGCCCTGGCCAGCTGGTTAGAGAGTCTAGAACCCCCCTAGAATACCCTCTGCCTTTTGGTATTCCCCACCATGTCCCCACTCACACTCTGTGTGAGTATGACAGTGTGTACGTGTGTGTGTGCACGGTGTGATGGGTGTAACAAGATCTGACATTCTGGGGCTCAGGTGCCCAGAGTGGTCCATCCTATACCCCCTGCTTTCCTACCCATCATTCCCCACCTTGACTGCAAAGTACTGAGAAAATCATATTTATTAAGGTTTTTTGACATACCCTATTACTGTGTATAAAATCCTTGCCATTAAAGCACCTTCCCCTGGGGTTCAGAACCCTGAGACAGAACTGTTCCCCAGTACTGGCCCCCAAATAGGCTTCCTGAGCCCCATAACCACTTTCCTTACATGTCCTGCTGTAGAAAGTGCCACTGCTCTGCTGTGGCCTTCGGGAGCAGGTGGGGGACACGGTGGTCCAGTCGCCAGCTTCACAGGTTATGGATACCCACCTGCATCCACTGAGGCCGAGCTGGCCTTCATTAGAACAGAGTTCCCATCTTGGGGGTGCTCTGCCTGGGAGAGGGCATACGGTGGGCACGAATCATGCAGGCGACTCTGGTGCCGAGACCAGCGGCGCTTGGAGCTAAAAATCTCCAGGCACCTCTTGCTCACCAGGTAGATGACCTCACTGAGGTTGAGCAGGATGCAGATCACAGCAGTGGCCACCATAAAGTAGGTGAAGACCTTCTTCTCCGTGGGTCGGGAGATGAAGCAGTCCACCGTGTGGGGGCAGGGTGACTGGGAGCAGGCCACCACTCGGGGCATGTCGTAATGCCCCTGGTAGAGGACGTGGAAGGCGTAGAGAAAGCCAGAGTCCACGGCAGCCTTAAAGATGAGAGTCAGTAAGTATGTCCACCAGAGCCCACCCCGCTTCTTGTTTGGGTTGTCGTACAGGGCCGGGGCGTTGGGTCCATGTTTCCGGCGGTACCTCCGCTCTCGCTCCTCCCGGTAGGCCACGTGCATGACCACCAGCAGCGAGGGGCACGTGACCAGGATGAGCTGCAGGGCCCAGAGACGCACATGGGACACGGGGAAGAACTCGTCATAGCAGACGTTGGGGCAGCCCGGCTGCTTGGTGTTGCAGACGAAGTCCTTCTGTTCATCATCCCACACATCCTCAGCTGCCACCACAAACACCAGCACCCGGAAGATGAACACCACGGACAGCCAGATGCGGCCCAGCGCCGTGGAGTACTTGTTGACCCCACTCAGGAGGCCCTGCAGGGAGGCCCAGTTCATGGTGACGGCCCCTCACGTGGACGGTGTACACCTGTGCGTGCCCACTCAGGCCTGGGGGCCGCGAGGCCTGGGAGAACCTGGAAATGGGTGTCCTTTATTAAAGGTGTGATTGGCAAAACTGTTTCGCAACCACTGTGTCCTCATGCCTTTACCCCAAGGACTTGGAGAGGCAGGGGTTGCCCTAGAGGCACCTGCTCGAGGCCCTGCAGTTGGAAGCGGCAGAGCTGGTCTTGAACTTCCACCTCCCAGTTCCAAAATCCGGGAATAATCTATTCTATAAAGTGATAGACACACATGAAGAATAATTGTCCTGCGTGGGTGTGACCGCCAACCTCTTTGACTCTAAGTTTCAGCCCTGTGGGTCACCGACTTCTAAAGAAGTAGCAGGAAGGTGTGGATTGGCTGATCCACTCGCCCACTGGCTGCCAGGGCTGGGCCAGGGTAGGAGAGGAGGGGTGTGTGTCTCTATCCTCCAGTTTCCCCCAACTTTTACTGAGCACCCACATGAGCCATGGCCGGAACCAGGCTCGTTTGTATCAGCTCCGAGGCAGATGCCTGAGTGATATGCATTCTTGTCTCTCCTCTCTGGCCCCAGGACATCCCCTTCTTGACTTTCCTTCCCAAATGAGACAGGTTCTCTCTTTGGAGAGAGCCACCATGGTGGCTGGTATCTTGCTGCCTGTGCCCCTCCACCCACCCCAGCGACATCTCCCTGCCATGGGTGCTGGTTATGGTCACTGACTGTCCTGACCTCAGTGGATTCCTCTGGAATTCCAAACATTCTGGCTTTAGGGAGGGGCTGGGGCAGTGACAGAGGCAGAATTCTGGCTCTGGCAGGGTCCTCCACCCATTTACCTCTTCTCTCAGGGGGACCCCCTTCTCCATTTGCTGGCCAGATCTATCACTTCCATTCAGGCCCCTGGGCTGTGTGTTCTACCCACCACACCCCCTACCTGGAGTGCCTTCCTGTGCCATCTCTGACCCTGGCCCCTCCTCTCTGTCCCTGACTCAGATCCCAGCATCTTCAGACCTCGTGCCATTGGGCCATTTTTCTGAGCAACTTCCTCTGTCTTTCATGCATCATTGATACTCTAGTCGTCTGTTTACCCAGCTTCTGTGCTAGACGGCTGGCTTCTGGAGGGCCGCCCCCTTGTCTCTTTGCCCTTATTTTCCCGACACTCAGCACTGGGCATGGTCCAGAGAGCACACCATGGACGTTTGCTAAACCAAATCAGAACCTCACATCTCCTGACTCTCCCTCTTTCTGTCTGTCCCCTGGTCCTCTGTCCTCCCTTCAGTCTGGAAGGACTTTTCTTTCTCTCTTTGGGACTTCCCTGGGTTTTTCCCAGTGATTGGCAGTGGGGATTCTCAGCCTCATTGGTACCTGCTTCCCAGCCCAGCCTCGTACCCAATTTGATCCTTACCTTTCTTTGGTCCAGCAGCCTCTCTCTGGTCCCCGGTCTGGTCCGTCTGTTTGAGGGCCTCCCAAAGGCAGCTTTTGTTCTTTAGTTCCCTGCTGGGTGGGGCTTTATGAGCCAATGAGCCAGGGAGAGTGAGCAGGTGGGCAGGCCGGCAGGCGGACTTCCCCGGGCACATATTCAGAGCAAACACCTGAGGCTCTCCTCTCCTGGCCTACACCTCCTCTTCAGGCTGGCTGGGCATGGCCAGGTCTGGCTCCCTGGTCTGGCAGGTATGTGGGTGAAACTGCAGTGTGTGGGGGGTGGGGGCAGGAGCCTAGAATCCTCATTCTCCAGGCCCAGGTCAACAGCAGTAGCATGGACCCTGTCCCCTTTCCATCACCTTAATGCCCTCTGTCCAGGCCTCGCTCCTGCCCTTTTCTGAAGCCCTCAGCAGCTGACATCTATGGAAAGGGGCAATCTTGATTCAGCCCAGGGTCACACCCACCTTGTGGGGACAGTTCTGGGGACTCAAGCTTGGGCTGCTGGTGAGCTGTATAGGGGATGGGAGGGGCTGACTTGGTTCTTCTAGACAAGGGAACCCCACTGCCCTGGTGGAGACAAGGTCGGTAGCATGAAATGCCCCAGTTGTCAGGGGGCCAAGCACAGTCTCAGGTTTATCCCCGTGGGCCTGGTTCCCTGGGGCAGGCCTCCAGGGAAGTCAGAGGTGACTCAGGGGGTGCTGCTGAGGGGCCTTGGGGCAGTGAAGGTTAATGTGTAGCCAGGGAGGGGCTCCTCTTCCTCATTTCCCACAGGCATTTCTCTAGCACTTCCTAATACCAGTGATTAACATTTATGTGGCCTTTCACAGGCTGCTAACCCCATTCACAACCTCATGAGCTTTACTGGGTCCTTGTTACAACCTCACAGACTCAGAAGTATTAACCCATTTTAGAGAGGGGCTGACATCACTTTCCCAGAGACCCAGAGGAACTTGGGCTTGAATGCAAAGGTTCTGACTCAAAGTTCATGGACTTTCTATTGCTGAATGCCACTCCCCATTACTAAGATCCATTCTTTTTGCAGACAACCCACAGGCCTAAAATGGCAACTGGGGATAAAGGCCTGAGAAGGCAGCATGACCCCCAGGAGTGCTGGGGACCCTTTCTGGAGAAGAGGATGGTCCCTCACCTGGCTGGAACAAGTACAATTCTCTGCAGGGGCAGAGAGAGTGACCCAATGACCTGATAAGTGTCCCAAAAGCCGAAGGACCAAAGGACACCTTGAATCACTGGAGGAATCAACTTTTGTTTTTTTAATCCTCACCCAAAAACATTTTAAAAAAAGATTTTATTTATTTAGGGGAAGGGGAAGGCAGGGAGAAAGAAAAGGAGAGAAATGCCAATGGGCTGACATGGACACTGGCCTATAGTGTCTGTGGCATTATCGATGAGATACAAGATAAATTCACATGGACTACCAAGTCCTGTGGAGGAAGAGGGATGGCACAGCTACCCCCTCAAGGGGGGAGCACCTCGGAGCAGCCTGGCCACTCTCTCAAGAGGAGGGCGCCTTGGCCCTTGCCTGGACAGGGTTTATTGGGTTCAATTAGCACAGGAATACAGGTAAAGCTCATCAATCATTGTCAGGCAGTAAGGATCAGACCATAGATAACATACAATGAACTATGAGGGCTTATTCTGAGTCAGGGTCTGTTAGCTAAAGGGCTACAAAACTTTGGGAAACACTCATTTCCTGCTCGGACCTTTATCATTTAATTGAGAGCATTCTTAGCAAAGCAGGTTTCACAGGAGTTTATATATTCTTTCTTAGGCTTAATCACCCAGGGAATGCGCCCTTTTCAGCACAGGGCTACACCACCCTCTGTCATTGTTTCAGGCTTAAGTCAGGCAGGGGAATAAGGCAGCCAAGAGATTGGGAGACTTCTTGCTGACAGAATGAGGACTCAGGCTATGTCAAAGCTGAGGGGTGAGGGTCCATCACCCCCTTTTGCTATAGCCCCCCAAGTCCTTCCCTGGGGCTTCCATGTGATTGTGCCTGTCTTAGGTCGTTCCCCCCTAGAGGAATCTTACCCATCATTTTCTAACCAATCTAGCCTTGGGGGAAAGTAATGGATGAAGTAAAAGGAGCAGAAGCAGTGCTCCTGCCAGGGAGATAAGCTTTGTCTCTTTAGTGGCTTATGGTCCGAAGATCGCTCATTCAGCCTTAGCCTTGGGGGGGTTACAGCTTCTGGGGGAAATCTGGGGGAAACCCGGCAGGGTGGTTCCCAACAGTGCTAGAGGTACATTGATTGGTTGCCTCTTGCACACCTCCAACTGGGGGCCTGGCCTGCAACCCAGGTGTGTGTCCTGACCAGGAATTGAACTGGCAACATTTTGGTTTTCAGGCTGGCCCTCAATCTATTAGCCATACAAGCCAGAGTCTGAGAATATGTTTTTCATTGCTCTTAGAGAGAGAGGACAGGAGGGAGGGACAGAGAGAAACATCAGTGTGAGAGATAAGCATTGATTGGTTTCCTCCCATGTGTGCCTGGACCAGGGATCCTATGCACTGGGACCAGGGATCAAATCTACAACCTAGGTATGTGCCCTGACTGGGCATCAAACCCTTCAGATGTGGGACAACACTCCAACAAACCAAGCCACACCAGCCAGGGCTGGAGGAGTTGGTTTTTATTAAGCCCTGACTGTGGGTCCCACACATTAAACTTGCTTGCACATCTGTTCTCTAATTAGACTCCTTCTCATAGCCACAAACCTATGAGGTAGGCCTCACCATCTACATTTTACACAAAGGGACACTGAGATGCCCAAGGCCACACAGCTGGGGCAGGTGGCAGGAGCCTCCCACCCCTAAGACTGTCCCCGTGAGAGATGCCGGGCCCTCCCAGCCCAGGCCTGCCCCGTCTGCAGCCCCTCACAGGATGGTTTTCTTCATGTAGTTCTGAGGGCAGTCTGGTAAGAGAGGAGGGTGAGTGTCTGAGCCCAAGAAAATGAGGTCGCCTGAGAGGAGGTCATCCCGTTTGCAGGAATTGGCACTGGTGGCCCTGGCTTTCCTCGCTGCCAGGCACTCACGGCACCTCTTGCTCACCAGGTAAACGAGCTCCACGAGGTTGAGTAGGATGCAAATGGCGGCTGTGATGACCATAAAGAGAGTGAAGATGTTCTTCTCCGAGGGCTTGGAGATGAAGCAGTCCACCGTGTTGGGACACGGAGCCGCGTGGCACTTGACCACAGGGGGGAGGGTGTATTTGGGGTAGAACAAGTGGAACACATAAAGGAAGATGACGTCTACGCTGGCCTTGAACACCAGGCTGCAGACGTACGTCCACCAGAGCCCACCCCGCTTCTTGCCGGGGTTCAGGTAGAGGCGCCCACCACCCTCCCCCTCGGCCTCTTGGTGCTTCTTCTCCCGTGCCTCCCGGTAGGCCACGTGCATGACCACCAGCAGCGAGGGGCACGTGACCAGGATGAGCTGCAGGGCCCAGAGACGCACATGGGACACGGGGAAGAACTCATCGAAGCAGACGTTGGAGCAGCCCGGTTGGCGGGTGTTGCAGTCAAAATCCTTGTGGTCATCACTCCACACACGCTCAGCCGTCACCAGGTACACCAGCACTCGGAAAATAAAGACCAGAGATAGCCAGATGCGCCCAAAGGCTGTGGAGTACTTGTTGACCCCACTTAGGAGCCCCTCGAAGATCCCCCAGTTCATGGTGGACCCAGGTGTTGGCTGCTGCTGCAGGGGAATGATAACAATTTTCCACATTTATAGAGTACTCACTCAACATTTTACAGAAACATGTCATCATATCTAATTCTTACAGCCACAGAGGAGCTTGGTTCTGTTGTTGACCCATTTTACAGATGGAGGAAACTGAGGTGTAGAGGGATTTTACAAGTGTACATAACTATTATGTGGAGAGCTGGAATTTGAGCCTAAGTAGCTAAGCCCAGAACCCAACTCTTACCCATAAAGTGGGTGAAGGCGGGTCCAGGGACCACTCATTCCTCCCAGGGCTCTGGGCTTGCAGTCCTGCAGAATGAAGCCTTAAGGAGGTTGACCATCCTGCCTTCTGCCTCTGTTTCAATTCTGGCCCTTCTCCTCAGGGGGGCTGAGCCTTGGGAAGGCCTCTCTCCTTTCTACACACTGCTCTTTGCCCTTAGACAGCTTCTCTCAAAAGGAACCTGCTCTTTTCTTTTCCTTTTTCTTGACTTGGAGGATGAGGTTGGAGAGGCTGGAAACTTATCCCCAAACTCCCACCTGGTCTAACACTCAGTGTAATTATCCAGGCAGCGTTCTGCTCGGGTGCAACTCACTTGAAGCAAGGCCAATGGCAATCCAGCTGAAAGATAACATAGCGGGCAATGGTTCTCTTTCTACAATAAACTTCCTGGAGAACTTTATTCTCCAGGAATAAAGTTCCTGGAGAAACTTCTGGTAATACAGTGTTTCCCAGACTGGTGTTCTATGGAATCCTGTTCCATAGGCTGGCTACAGCAGTGAGAGAAAAGGAATCTGTGTTTGAAAAAGGGAGGCAGCCATCGTGTTCGCAAAGGTCAATAGGTCCCTTTACTTGACCATGCCAATGACTTTCCTTTGTGGATCTCTGAAAGGGGGACAGAGTAGGTAGCATTGTCCAAACTCCTTTGGCCATAGAGCCCCTTGTCATCATCGTGCGGAACGGCCTTGTCCAGACACTAAGATGGGAAACGCTGCTTTCGTTGCTTGTGCTGGTGAGTGAGTTTGGTGTGCTAGGCACACAGGGGGCAGATTTACCTCCATTTAAGGAATGCGACTGCTGATCAGAGTGAGGGGTACCCACTTCCTCTCTTGGAGTTCCTCTGGCTGGTTCTTGGGGGAACCCATTCACCAGTCCCACTCTGCTAGGCCTCCAGGATCTCAGGGAATCTCTCTGCACAGCCTTCTGCTTTAAGGCATTCCTGCTGCCCTTCTGACTCTGGTCCAGGATGAAGGTTACACACTGTCCTGACCCCCTGTAGCAGCTGAGCAGGGCAGAAGTAAGTGCCAATATTTGTTGGGCGTCTATGCAGAGCCAGGCACTGTTCTGAGCACTTTGCACAAACCAATACAGCAACAACTATAGGAAAGTGTGTGATATTTTTGATTCCAAGTTTACAGGTGAGGAAAGTGGAACACAAAAGGGTTAATTAATTTGCTCACTGTTAAACAGCTGGTAAGCGGCAGAGGCAGGATTTGAACTCAGGGGCTGGCTCCAGAACCCACACTCTGGGCCTGGGCCCCTTTCCTGGAAAGCTGCCTGGGTGCCTGTTCTGTGCCCACCCCCCTCCTACACCAGGTGGGTCCTGGCTGAGGGAGGCTGGGGTGTCTCTGCTCCCTACCCTATCTCTTCATTTTTCTACAACACCTTCACTTGGACGTGGGAGCCCAGCTCTGAATCATCAGCTTGTCTTTGCTCAGTCCTCCTTAAGGTGGGTGGACTCCTGGCAGCCTCTCAGGGAACAATCAGGGAGGCTCCAGCCCTTAGCTCCTGGGTCTAGGCCCAGCCCACCTGGGGTGGGACAGGGTAGGGCTGAGCAGGCCCGGGCAGAACCGCTCCGCCTGCCCCGCTCTGCCTGCCCAGCTCCTTGTTCCCCTGTGAGTGCCTGTCCTCTCAGCCCCTGGCTTCCACCGCTGCTTGGTTGGGGAGAGTGGGAAAAACTCAGAGCAGAGGCGGGAGGAGCCCCGTACTCCACCATCAGGTGGTGGGTGCGTCCAAGCCTCCTCCTTCCACTTCCCACCAGAGAAGTTTCCCTCTCTCAGGTGTACCAAGGAACAGAGTACATTTGGATGCAGATGACCTTACCTGAGCGGCTACTCCTCAGGGCTCTCCAGGTACTTGCTCCCGACAGCCGGCCGTGGACTCAGAAGGCACCTGGAACTCATGTCAGAACCAGAGAGGGTGTTTGGGGAAGCCTGTTCCTGGGACAGAGCCTGCGAGTGAGCCTCAGCCTGGGCGTGTCCCTGGTCTAGGAATAGGAGGAGCTGCACCCAGTAAGGCCATTGGCTGGGTCCCAGCCTTCCCAGACGGCTTCCTACCTGACCCAGGAAGCTTAGGAGTTCCCTTCTCGCAGGGGTGCTGAGCCCAGAATCCTGACATCCTCTCAGGGGGGAACCACAGGTCCACCCTGAGCCCCTGCTTGTCCTTCCCATCCCTGGCCTTGTGTGGGAGGAATCCCAATTCCTGAAATTCTGGAAACTCCCTACTGCTACCTCTGGGGACTCTCTGCTCTCTAGGCTCCCTCTGTCTGGTCCCTTCTCAGTGGCCTTTCATTCCCATGGCTTCCATTACCTTTGGAAATGCTGAGATGCCCAAACCCTGTCTTCAGCCTAAATGCCTTTGCTCTGTCAATTGCCCCCACTCGAATGCCCTTCTCTTACCTTTCTCCTCACTTACTCTACTCCTCCAAGAAGCCTTCCCTGACTGTGCCACTCCAGGTGGCTTGGAGCCCCACCTCTGGGCTTCCACATCATTGTCAGATTGTATTGGAATAGCTGATCTTAACTGAGCTTGTTCCAGGTACGACCCTTCTTCTGTTGAATGAACAAGTCAATCCACACCAATAGACTTTTTTAGGGGATTGTTGTGAGCACAAAGTGGATCAGCCCCTGACCCCCAGGACCTCACCAACATACTGATGGTTACCAGCTAGTAAGTCTAATACCAGCTGCACAGCCTCTTGTGACAGCAAAGAGGTCATGGAGCAGCCTCCCTATTCGCCACCATCCTGTTGCTGCTGGGATCTGGTTGAGGCTTTGCACCCCAATGCTGAATGCTCAGTGAGTGGCAGAGAGAATTACCCTCTCCCCTGCATACACGGCCCCACCCTTCCCGTAAATATGCACACTAAGCCTGTCCCTAGACCCTGCATGGATGACCACCCTTCCCCACTACGGGGCTGCTTTTTACTTCCAACAGCACACACATCGGTCTTTCCACTAACACTTGTTTGAAACTCAAAAATCATTGCTGTGTGCCAGGTGCTGCGTTTGGTCCCGGGCTACACAGAAAAAGAGAGGAACAGATGAGGCTGGGCAGGGCCCCCAGGGACACAGATGAGGGGTGCGAAGACACGCTGATAAAGTAAGGAAGGCCTTGAAGGTGAGCTCTAGAGGGAAGAGGCTGGACCGCACAGGTCTTGCCCAGAGAAGATGCCTCCTGTTTGATGCAGATGGCATTTTAGGGGACTTCCTTAAGGCAACGGACCTCTGCCTTTGGGCCCCACACCCCCGCATCTAGAGTCTCATTCTGCTGGATTCGAATCCTGCCTCTGTTCCTTTTAGATCTGGGCAATCTCCATTGCTCCGCCGTGGATGAGACCTGTCGTGCTGTGAGGGGCATCCTGAGAAGACACAGAGTGTGATGCAGTGCAACCTCATGGGGTTGGCATCCTTACTGCCCCAGCCAGCGGAGGAACCGTGTGAGGACAGTACCTGGCACAGAGCAAGGCCTTCCTGCCACATGCCTGATGCATGTACACTGTCCACACACACCTGACACGTGGTGGGTTCCCCTAAAATCTGACTTTCTCCCCGTTTCCCTAGTCCCATGCCACTTCTTGCTGAGATGTAGGGTGGCAGAGAAGGGAGGGGGAGACAGATACATTCGCCAGAGAAAATCTCATGTGGATGGATGCCCTCTTTGGGTTAAAAAGGCAAAACCTGGGCCAGATGTTGGCTGTTGGAGAGCTGGGGAGGGCGCTGTCAATGCACAGACACAGCCTGTTGGCCTAATGAACCCTCAGACGCCCTTTATCTGCAGGTTGCATGGGGCCAGAATTCAAAGGATAGTGTGTCTAAGAGCCACAAACACCACAGGGCCACAACAAGGGCAACAGTCCTGCATGTGCACACGGCTCCTGAACACAGGCCACGCTACGGGCACTGTGTCGCACACACGGGGGACAGTGCTTTGTTCAGTTCACCGCTGTGCCCCTGCTGCCTGGAAGGGCTCCTGGTAGCAAGCGAGGTCTCCATCTGTGTTTACGGAATGAGATATGTATAAAATGGCCCTGGCTGGTGTAGCTCAGTGGATTGAGCACGGGCTGTAAACCGAAAGGTCGCTAGTTCGAGTCCCAGTCAGAGCACATACCTGGGTTGCAGGCCAGATCCCCAGTGGGGGCCACGTGAGAGGCAACCACACAGTGATGTTTCTCTCCCTCTCTTCCCCTCTCTCTAAAAATAAATAAAATCGATAAAATCTTTTAAAATATATATATGAAATGCATACACCTTATAAAGAGAGTCACACACATCTATCCCCCTTCCACATTCTTCCCCCAAAACTGTTGCCAAGTACAGGAGAGAGGAGACACACGAACGGGTCAGGCACAGCATGGTGAGAAGTGCTATAAGGACTTACAACATAGAAGGGAGTGTCAAGGTCTGTGGGAGGGAGGCCCAGACAAGGCGACGTGGAAGCTGTGTCTCGAAGGCTATGTAGCCGGTCACCAAGGGGAGGAGAGGCCTTTCTGGCAGAGGGCATGGCGTGTGCAGAGGGCCTCTGTGAAAGACAGTCAAAGAGCCTTCCAGTGGGGCTGGCTGGGGAGTGGTGGGGGCACCAAAAGGCGAGGCACCTGGGAGGTCAGCAAGGACCTTCTCAGCCATGCAGGCCTGGAACGCTGTGCTGAGTTTGGATTTATCTTGTGTGCAGAGGGAGGCCTCGGGGAGCAGTCAGACGGGCACAGTCCATTCCATTATTCGTGGTAGTTAGGTTGTGTAAAGTCACGACAAGCACCGAAGTAGGAAATCCTGAAGCTTTGCCCATGGGAGAAATACAGGGTTAGGTTCTTACGAGCCTCTGGTTGGAACACTTTCATCAACGGAACACAAGACAACCTTGTTTTATGTGCATTTCTATGTTATGACACCTTCTGTAATATACAGTGTCCTGTTGAGTCATGAACCCCGAACTCACAGCTGACAGCACTGTGACTCACTGTGGAACCACACTCATTTTACGCCAGCATCTTGTCCCTGAGGTGTATCACAGCCTTGCTGCACGGAGAACCGCCAGACAGGACAGCCACACTGTGCTCGGGGGCCAGGTTAAACTGTAATGTCACTTTCTAAAGGTTCAAAAAAGTGAAAAGGTGGCCAAAAAGTTGACCTGGAATAGAACATTTCTTTACAGTAGAAGAGCTGAGACAAGAAGGCAGCTTGTCATCTTGTTCATCCGTAGCTGGGGACTTGTGCGTCAGGTGACTCGAATTTTTTACTGTGCTATGTGTGTCCATGAATGGGTGGGAAAGCGCCGTGGTGATGGATTTAGGAGTGAGGCAGATACGTTTCAGTGAGTATGCAAACACACTGACGCGGAAGCCATGAACGAGGATCACTGTATGTTTAGAAAGCTCCCTCTGTTAGAGAGAGGAGGTTATTGCAATGGTTTAGGCGGGAAGTGAGCCAGAAGGATGGGTCTAGAACAGCTGGTAACTACAAGTGGTGGTGATGGGGGCCTGACCGGATGCAGGGGTATCGGGGGTGGTAGGAGGAAGCCCAGATGGTCCCCAGGTTGCTCTATCGGTGAACTGGCAGGTGGTGGGTGTAGTAAGGACTCTAGGAGGAAAAGCAGGTTTCTGAGGGGGGAGGGGGAGGTAAGGCACAGGTTCCTCCCAGATGTTCGGGAGTTAGTGAGTTCAGTGTCTTGTGTGCTCAGTGGAAGGGTGTGGAGGATGGCCGCGGGGACTGTCCACAGCCAGTAGATGGCAGCAATGGCTGGAGTCCTCAGCCCTGAGGGGTTGGTGAGGCAGCCTTGGGAGAGTGTGCTGGGTGAGAAGAGAAGAGGGTCCAGGCAGAGGTCTGGTGGGCACTGACATTTTAGGAAGCTGGTGAGAACTCACCTGTTCTCGCCAGCTTCCTAGATGCCCGTGGAGGAGAACAGTTGGTGACAGAGAATAGCCAGAGGTCAAGCCACCTGCAGAGAGTCCTGCTGAGGTCTTTGGTGACTTTTGCCAGCATGATTCAGCAGAGTGGTGGGGACAAAGCAAAGGACAATGGGCAGAGGAGGTGCAGCTGCACCTTGCCAGGGAAGGAGAAAGTCAGGGCAGTAGGCAGAAGGACCAGGGTGTTTCTGGACAGGCGCCAGCCCCGAGCGCGTCAGCCGCAGGCTGGCCTGTCATGTGTGGGTTCCTGGCTGTGTGTGGGAAAGATTTCACAACACAAGTCCGGGTGATTCTGAGAGCATGTTTATTAAGGCTGGGGACAATGAAACAAGGGAAAAGTGTAGGGTGGAAGGCGTAATAGGAGAGAGCCCAGGTGGGGCTGCTGTGGCTCCCTAGAAAAGTTATGGGAAAGAAGTGAGTCCAGGCGGGGCTGCTGTCAGCTCACCGGGAGGTCAGAGAAGAGGGGGCCCTGGAGACAGGGTCAGGGCGTAAGCCTGGGTGGAGCCGCCACTGCCCACTGCTGCTCTGGCTGCAAGTCTCCTTGGGATCCTCGGAGTTCAGGGGGAAACAAAAAGTTCGTGCCTGGGGAGTGGCAGGGGCGTGCTCTAGAGTGAGCCCACGACACGTTCTTTGTCCTGCTGGCTTTTTGTATTTCTATCAGCTTTCCAGGTACATCTTTAATGTGCTGATGTGTCCAAATGAGTGCGTTGGGGTGGGGGTGGGGGGTGGGGAATATTCTTTGGTTTTCTATAGCTTTTTACTTTTATCTTGAGCCTGTCTGGCTTTTAATGGGGTATTTGTTATTAGTTTTCCTGACTTCATCTGTCCTTGGGTTTCGCTAGCAGAAATGACATTCATTGGGCCTCTGTTCTCTATGTCCCGGACCAGGGAGGTTTAAGCTGTGTGTTCTCTAGTCAGGGAGGAGAGGTATAAACCACTTACTCTCAAGTGTCCTTGGTTAGGGGAGGTACCAGCTGGTTCTTGCGATTTACCAGCTGGCTGTAAGTTGTTCCAACTGTTTGGCCTTGTTTTATTTTCTTGTC